GTACTTGCTTCACTTTCTATTTTTCCCTTTAGTTTTCTGCTGTTTGGCACTACCACTGTCATTTTGATTTATATTTTGTCAGTCGCTGTCTTATTGTGTTTTTCTTTACTCAGTTCTGTTTCGTAGCCTTAATGTGAAGACTTCTTGTCCCAACTTCTGAAACTCGTCCATTGTCAACTGAACTCAAGCGCCTCCTATTATTTTCATCTCCGCATTTATGCATTTATGCCAAGAGCCTATTGATCTGCCTCCCCAATTTAAAGGACAATGAATTCTACATCCACTCAGTTTGTCACCTCCGGAAGGATGGGCATCTATGACCCTATGCATCAGATTGGTATGTGGGGAGAAAATTTTAAGAGTAATGGAAATCCTAATACTTCAACAATGTTCATAGCTGGTAATCCAAATGCGTATGCATCAATGATTATAGCACCAGACACAAAGCTAGACAATCAGGTGAAAATTGTAGGAAGCTCACTCTTAGTTCTAATATCTGGTTTGTTTCGGATTTACAAGCTGATGCATATTTTTTATTTATTTGTTTTTAGTCAGAGGATACTTCACAGGGTACTCTTGGACATTCTAACAAGTATGACCAAGAAGCATCTAAACCTGCTGATAAGGTAAAGTCTGATAGTGATGCTGGCTGTGGATCTCTCTCTCTCTCTCTCTCTCTCTCTCTCTCTCTCTCTCTCTATCTATCTATCTATCTACACACACCTACATATGCGCACGCTCGTTTACTTCCATAACAAATAATCGTAATGTTATCATATATAGATATGGATTTCTAGTTCTGCTAAACTATGTTGGTTGTCTTTTATCTCTTGATTGTCATGTCATGTATCTCTTCTTTCTCCATTGAAGTCTTACTTTAGTCTTGTTATAGTTTCGTTTCGGTCACTATTTAATTGAGATTGTCAAGATATTAACACTGAAATAATATGATATGTTTGACAGCGTGACCTTTTCCATATTTAGATCATTTCATCCATAGATCTTTAGAATCTGTTGTTTTCTGTCTATTGATACAAATATGTTCATCATCCAATAGTTTCAACCACAAGCTTCTCTTATGACAACAAAAAATTTAACTATACATATTCTTTCTGCAAAATATGAATACTTGCTTCGTAACTATACATGTGAATGCTTACAGGTACAAAGACGTCTTGCACAAAATCGCGAGGCTGCTCGTAAAAGCCGTTTGCGGAAGAAGGTAGGAAGGA